TTTTTGAAGTAAATTTATTTACATATTATCTGAAAAAAATTTCCCTTACAATTCGTGGTTTTCCAGGTCTTTATAAAATTTTTTTCTGGGTTTTAAGAATCGACATAATAAGGGGTTACAAAAAATGCATTGCTTAAATTTTATTTGATAACACTCACAAATGACGTGGAAAAGTTCACAACGTTTGTTATCAACAATTTAAAGAAAAAAACTGTTTTCACTCAGAAAACAATATTTTGCGTACTTACAAAATTTTCTTTTTTTAACTTTTTATACAAGAAACATTGTAAAAGTTTTATTAAGACAAAAGTTTGAATAGAAAATTATTTTTTCTTCTAAATCATTGTAAACGTTACCAACGTTATAAATTATGAATATAAAATGAACATTTTAAAGTATTTAAAAATACGTACTTTACGGAACAAAAATTAAAAATTACGGACCATTCATGAACAAAAATATAACCAGTCGGAGTCAAATAAGAAAACATTTTACTTCAAACTGTAAATTAAATTTCCTTATGTTTTATAATAATTAAAGATGTCCGAAAGATAAAATCATTATTTTATATTATAAGAATATTGACCGATGGTATAGCTGGCGGAACTCGTGGCTTGCGATCACAGAGGTTAAGCACCATTGAGCGCGGTTAGTGCTTGGATGGGTGACCCTCTGTAAATATCGCTACAGTCTCGGTTTTTTCGCTGATCGAGATATATAGAACAGGAGGTTTGACGCCGAGGCTATGTTTGTGCATTTGTGATGGCTATTCAAATGTACATTCATGACTCGACGTCAATAAACCGGTTGTACTCGGGAAGTAGGTTTTCTACAGTTTTCCTCTCCCCTGGCCAAATGTCCAGGCGAATGCGAGCACTCCTAACCTAAGTCGGCTGCAGCCGCAAAAGTAGGGACCCCAAAGAGTTTGTGAGTTAGGAAAGTTTAGTAGTGATGTTGAGGAGATTGTAAAGACCCGAAAGGGTATACAATGAAATCATACTTTTATTAAGAGAATATTGTATTTCTTCAAAATTATTATCATCATTTCAATTTAATTATTATTTTCAAGAATTTTTAACTAAAAGAACTTTGACAATTTTCAAATACATTTGTTTACAATATTCAATTTTACGAAATAAGAACTTCAAATAATATAAAAAAAATTTAATTAACATTTAAAAAAAAAAATTAATTTCAAAATTCAATTATTTATAAAAATTCACGCTATATTGCTTTAATATTCAATTATTATCTAAAATTTTAACTGAAATTCATTTTTTAATCAATTTTTATTAAAATTCAATTATTGAATAAAAAATAAATAATTTATTGAATTATTGAATATTTCTTAAAATTGAATTCTTATAAAGAATTTTACCAACAAATTTTTTAATTGATGACGAATTTTAATAAAAATTTTAAGAATAATTACATTTTTCGAAGAATTTGATTAAAATTGTATTAAAAATAATAGAAATTCTTTGATGAGTTTTATTATTTATGGAAATAATTTAATTCTCACAAAGAATTTTATTTAAATTTTTAAATATAATTAATTTCTTTTGAGGAATTTAATCAAAATTGTATTATTGAAAATAATTGAATCGTTGTTAAGAAATTTATAAAAAATTTGTAAATAATTGAATTCCTATGAAATGTTTATTATTTTATTAAAATAATTAAATTTTTTTAAAACAATTAAATTCTTTTTGAAAAATTTTAATAAAATTTTTGAAAATAATATAATTTCGGAGAAGAATTTTATTATTTGAGGCTCCGGATCTTAAAAGGGCACTTTCAGCATTGATTTTAAATGGTAAAAATGCCCTTTTAAGATCCGGAGCCTCATTTATAAAGTTAATTGAAATTTTGACGAGAATTTAAAAAAAAATTTTAATATAATTGAATTTATGAGAAGAATTTTATTACTTTTGAAAATAATTGAATTTCTGCAATCATTTGTAATTTCTCTAAAATTTCCTAAATTATGTCGTACAATTTACAAACTTTTCATCCTTTTTCAATCGAATTACGGACTTTACGGACCTTTTTGCAAAAAGACTGACTTTTACGGACATGAAGTAAATTTACGGACCTTTACGGGATTTACGAACCTAGTTCGAGCCCTGAATGATGTATTTTATAAACAAATTGACTTATTTTACGAAACAAATTTTTTCAATGCCATTATTTCGGCTTTTCTTTTGATCTTTCAGAATTTTAAGTGGTCAATCTTCTTCTATTTGATTATATGTCTGTGGTTCACATTATTTATCAAAATCGAATAGAATTGTATATTGGAAAGGTAATATTAATTATTACTGTTGATTTTTTACTAAAGATTTGTAAAACTAATTGTGGGCATTAAAAATATTGCCATTCGATTCCTTATCTAAAAAACTAGGTTATAAACCTTTAAAATTCAAATTTATACCCCGTTTTTTATACGGGGGTAAATTGACCCAAAAACAGCGGTTTTGCGATTTTTTAAATAAAATGTGTATAAAAAATAAAAAAATACATTAAAAAAAATGGTTTTTTAGGTTTGTTAACTAGAACAAACCAGAGTGTCCACAAGTTTCAGTTTATCAATTTCCCTGACATTTCCCTGACAATTTACTGACATTAAAATTACTTTCCCTGACAAAATTCTTTTTACAGGAAAATATGAATGTTTACGGAAAATGGGTAAAATTTATTAATTTGAATAATTTCTAAAAATTAAAATTATAACCCTTCCTGAATTCAATTATTTTTTACAATTTTCAACTAAAGTTCGTCTCTGAATCAATTAATTTAAATAATTTCCCAAAAGTTCTTCTAGAATTCAATTATTTAAATACAAAATTTTAATTTTTTATAATAATTGTAATTATATAAATATAATAGTTTTTCAATTTTTAATAATTTACAAACAATTAAAATTTGGTAAAATCTTTTAAAAATAATTGAATTTTTGAAAAATATAAATAAAAATGATCAAATTTTTGAAGAATTTTAATTTTAAACAGGACCATGATGTCTCAAAAATTTTAATAACTCCAAAAAGTAAATTTTCATAAACTTTTGTTCACATTGTTCGAAGATAATTAAATCTTAAAAAAATTATTTTAAAACAATTCTAATAATTAGTTTTTAAAAATATTTTAATGTAATTTTTCCAAAATAATTGAATTTCTTAAAAAAAATTTAGTATAATTTAAAAAACGAATTAATTTTTCTTTAAATTTTAATTAAAAATTTTGAGCTTGATTGTATTCCCCAAAATATTAAAAATAATTCTAAAATGTTATTATTTTTATGTGTATTTGAATTTTTTGAAATATGTAATTGAAAATACTGAAAACATTGAATTTTTAACAATTAGAAGCTATTATTTCAATTATTTTCAAAATTTGCAATTAAAATTCTTCAAAAATTGATTTTTAAAAATTTTTAATAAATACTTGAAATGTTTGGAAGAAAAGTCGAAAAAATTCTCAATTTTCTTAATTTTCCTGACAAAAATTTTTTTCCTGACATTTCCCTGACTTTACTGACAAAAAATTTGTTCCCTGACATTTCCCTGACTTTACTGACAAAAATTTTGTTTCACTGACATTTCCCTGACTTTACTGACTTTACTGACATGTGGCCACCCTGACAAACACTTATGAACAGAATCTAGTTTTAATTTTTAATTTATGAGTTACAGGTCGTCCGGTATATATTCCGTATAATTTATAACAATATCTAAAAAGAATTTTGGGAAAAACTGTACATAATACTTTCATCACAATAAAAATTTTAAAAAGTATGTTTTTGTCAATTCTAAATCAGAAAGTCCCTTTAAGAAATTATTCAAATTTCTTAATCATTTTTTTAAAAGCATTTAATATTTTGTTAAATAATTTTCGAATTTTTTTTAGAAATAAATGAAAGAAAATATAGAAATTCAATTTGTCAGACAGAATTTTTTTAAGAGCAGGTGGGAGCTGAAATTAAAACATATAAACAATTATTTAAATTTTTAACTGTGCCAAATGAATATATTTTTTTCTCGGATCTATGTTAACCGATTTTAAAAAATAAAAAAGCGTTTTTTCGTATTAAAATCTAGAATTTAAAAATATTTCTTATTTTGAAAATTTTTTTCATATTTTTGAGAAAAAAAATGTCCCGCTTTGAGGAATAACAATATTAAATATTTATTATGCACGGTTTGAATAAATATTAAATTTTTTTTATTCATCATAGCTGGCTTTTTTTAACTCAACGGTTTTTTACTCAAAAATATATAGAGAATACGACAGTATTTCTTAATTTTGTATAGAATGTGAAGAAAAGTTAATTTAATTTTTTGAATTTAAAAAAAATTTATATTCACTTTATTGTAATTTAATTTTTGAATTAAATTTTTTTTTTAATTTTCTTTTAAATCCACATTTAATCAATAATAATAGTTATGTAATTATTATACAATAAAGTAGATAAAAATATCATTGCCGATTACTAAAACTTTTACGTGACGATTACTAAAGCAGTTTTCATCCCTGCCAGTGCCGATAACTGACGCATTTTGGTATTACAAACTTTCTTTATAAATAAATATTAAAAATAATAAAACTCATAAAAGACAAGAAGTAATTATACTTCTTTAAAATCTTCTATATTCGTAAAAATTAATTGTTAATGTAGAAATACCGTTTAACACTGTTTAATAAACATTTGAAACTGTCAAGTCGGCTTAAGGTCACAATCACCGGTAAATTTACCTTATACATAGAAATAATAAACAACTTATTCTAATTCCACTTAAAAATTACAGTAACTGATTTTGATTTGATTATCTAAATACATAAATTCGAAATATTTTTGTAATCAAATATCTTGAAGTCAATTTAAATTTACAAAAATCTTAAAAGCAATTTACTAAGTCAATAAACTTTATTTACGATTTTTCCAGTGGTTAGAAATAAATATTAAAAAATATAGGTTATGTTTATAAATCATGTGTTTACCTGTTCAGAACTATCAAGTGAAGTACCAGGTTTTGCTATACACTTTTGGAAACATTTCTTTGTCACAATCTAAAAATTAAGTATGTTTTGATTTATTACAACAAAAAATTTATTTTCAATTAAATCACATATCAATTTATAATTTTTTTACCGTAATAAATTCATGTACACTGGCAACAGCAATTTCTTGTTTTACTTGTTCAATAAGAGCATCTTTTTGAGCTGTGGTTAAACTTCCTGGTCTAAGGCTTTCCATTTTTTTCTAATTTATTTAAAGTTAAATCAATTTTTGTTAATTAAAATACCAATTAAATATTTGGAATCCGAAAAATTAAATTAAATACTTTATAAAGCCGAACAGCCTTCTTGAGCCGAACAAATCCAGCGTGCAATAGCAGAAGAAAAATTTAAAACTTTATTACATGAAGTTTATAAGAACATAAGAAGGTCAACTCAATATGTAGAATGGAAAGAGGTGGGAAATAAAATATAAAGCCACTTTCACATCTTTAAAGGCGCTCGCACAGCTCTACTGCCTGCATGAGAGTAAGAGAGAAAAACATAAAATTTGAATTTTCTGACCTTTCTGACTTATTTACTCTCATGTGTTACCATGCATGGTACAACTATGCATGCATTGGCATGCATGCAGAGCTGTGCGAGCGCCTTTAGGCTGCAGTCCCATAAGCGGTTTTTATAATTTTTCAGAAATCTGAAATTCAATAACTTATAAGAATATTATTATAAAATGAAGAAATCTTCATGTTTTAAAATAATTAAATCTTGCTACTTTGTTACCGTAAGCATGAGATAAAGAAGGATAGATATATTGTTTATCCTTCTCAACTCAGGGAGCGTTCAGACCTTCTCATGCAAAACTTATGCATGCAGGTTGTCATAGTAGCGTTCAAGAGTGAGAGAGATAGATTAATTTCCTATCTCTCTCACTCTTGAACGCTACCATGGCAACCTGCATGCATAAGTTTTGCATGAGATCGTGTGGCTGTACCCTCATTCTTGCGGTTACAGTTACGATTACGATTTCGATAACGCTTCTATTCTGCTTTGGCCCGCTGCGTATTGCATTGAGTAATGAGTGCAGCAAGGATAGAAGTGTATGCAAAACCGTAAAGGTACTTCTATACCTACCTCCGGTGGATTGGTCCGGTCACTCAATTTGATTGGTTGAAGAGTAAATTCTATTTTTACTGTTCCTGAAAATTAGAAACAGTGAAAATGGAATCTTTAGTACAGCCAATCAAATTACGTTATCCGACCGTGAAAATTCATCAAGCCGATTGCTTGACCAATCCACCGGAGGTATAGGCCGCAGTCCCATGGCAGCGTTTTGCTTTGCGTTGTAATAAGAGAGAATGCAGCAAACGTATATTTGCGTCTTTTTCTCTCCCATTAAGGCCTTTCTCCAATAGCCCGGCAGGCGGCCAGCAGGCCAGCAGCTGAGAAAGTATAATTTTCTAATTGTGCCAAGACCCATATGTAAACGATAATCTTGTTGAATCTGGTCTAATAATAATCATATAAAATGTAGATATGTGATGATTTTTATGCCATGATACATTTTACAAAATTTAAACAGTTAAAATGCACAAGTTATTAAATTACCAGTTTAAGTTATCATACATTCTTTAGAGTTTTTTATAAGCAAAATCGATTTAAATAAAACATAATTTAGAAGAGTTACATTATTGTAACAATTATCATTATCATGGTACGTACTTATATATATATATATTACAATTAACAAAATTTTTACATTGCAAAGTGTATCATTATTTGTTAAGCCACGTCGTATTCAAGTGTTTCTAATAACATAACTTGTAAGACATACTTTTTGTGTATCAAACAATTGCAATTAAAATTAATCACATGCTTCATAATGGATATTGTTTTTTTTTGTCATAAATGTAACCTTCAATTACATCTCTCTAAAGAAAAATTAGCCAATTTAATGTTGTAAATTCTCAAAAAATATAGGATAAATTAAATTGCGTAATAAATTTTAAAAAAATATGTCAATTTATACAAAATATTATTCACATTTTTTTTGTATTAAATATTAATTTATATTACTGTAAAAATGTTTCCATTCAAACTTACATAATAAATAATTGTTTTCGTATTCCATTATTAGCAATTTCTTTATTTCATGTTTTTATATGCTTTCAATATGGAGCCAATGTGAAGCAGTTGTAAATAATTTTTTTTCTCTATTTAGTGAAAGAAAAAAAATTGAATATTATCCACTCAGAAAGAAAAATAAATTATTTATTAAATTGAGCTTTATGATTCTTACAAAATTAAAAAAAACACTGAGAAATATGTTTTGCTTTATATGAATCAATTTACAAGAGCCAGAGGTTGTCAGCAATTAAAATTCTTAATATTAAAAATGTCATCTATTCTCATAATTTGTTACTTTTTAATTGCGATTAATTTCTTGATGTAATATATTTCAAAAATTATAGATTTCTTATATTTTTGTTTTTATAAATTATTTTATAGTTCTAAACTTTAATTTATCAAAATTTGATATTTATTTGAAACTTACTCCAAATTTCAATGAATTCTCCACAAATTGGTAACTTTTGACTACGGTAACTTTATAAGAAAAAATATTAATGTTTTTGAAAATTTTCTATGTAGGTAGATCTTTTTAATAAAACTTGAAAATAATTATTTTGTAGATATTTGAGTTTAAATTTATTTTTTAATCTTATATACACAATTTAAATAATTTTAATTGAAAGAAGAAGGAATTTATCATTCGGTATACGAATTTTTATCGAAGGTGGAAGAAGAAGTTAAAAATCTCTCCGAATCAATTTTTCTCTTAAGCATACATTAATTTTCATGTATCGACAGTGCAACTGTTCTTCTACAGAAACATGCTTTTTCTGAAAAATATTTTCGAAATTAATTAATAATTTAATTCGTTTACAGGTTAAATAATAAGTGGAGACAGGAGCATAAAAGCATAAACTTTTAAAATTTGGTCTAGTGTTAAAATTCGCATTAAAAAGTATTATTTATCGTTAATAATTCAGGGTTGCTACAGATCAGGGGAATTAGAATTGGTCAAGGAATTCAGGGAAAACTCAGAAATTTTTATTAAAAGTACTGGAAAAAATTAAATTTTTAGAATTTATAAGAAAATTCTGAATTGTTTCATCTTTTTTGTTTGGCTCATAAACTATGAAATTGCCAAGAATTATAATACAAAACCTTCAATTTTTTCTATTTCCATGACAATAATTTCTTTTTAAATATCTTAATTATTCAAGAACTATCATAAAATTATTATGTATAAATTATTTAATGAATAATTTTACTTAAAAATTTCAAAAGAGTTGTGTTTACAATTTTCATAAATAAATGAAATTCAATTATTTTCAAAAAATTTAATAAAATTCTTGTCAAAATTTCAATTATTTAAAAAAATTTACCTCATTTCAATTATTTTTAATATCTACTATTTTAATATAATTTTCAAAAGAATTCAATTATTTAAACAAAATTTTAATAAAAGTTTTACAGGAATTCAATTACTTACCAATTTTTTATAAATTTCTTCGAACCAATTCAATTATTTGTAATTATCTAATAAAGTTTTTCGAAAGAATTCAAATATATTCAGAGAATTGAAAAAAATAGTTCTGAGAAATTCAATTATTTCGAAAAATGTAAATAAAATTCTTTTAAAAATTCTAGTATTTGAAAAAATGTTGACAAAATTCTTTACAAGATTTGCTTGATAAAATTGCAATTTTAATAAAATTTTCCTATACAATTCAATTATTTTTAATACAATTCTTCTTAAGAATTCAATTATTTAAAAAAAAATTGTAATAAAGTTCTTCGTAAGAAATCAATTATTTTCATAAATAATAAAATTTTGATAAAATGCAGCTATGTGAAGTTGAGAGCCCCATCTTAAAATTTTTCAAATTTCTATATTGCATTCGTTTGTCCACGATAAGTCCACGTTTGTCCAACAAAAATTTTTATTTGTCCACCTTCTGTTAAAAAGAAAAATGAAAAAAATGCATTTTTAAGTTTAAAACCACTAAAAATTTAAAAAAACGCTAATTTATCTGTTCCTGACACATTAATCGTTTGTCTAGAGTAAGTCCACGTTTGTCCAATAAATACTTTCCTTCTGTTATCATTCACATTGTCAGAAATTTAAAAAAACACTTTTTCTGGTGAAAATCAATAAAAATTTAAAAAATGCAAATTTAATAATTCCACCTACACTAATCATTTGTCCATGGTTAGTCCAAATTTGTCCAACAAACAATTCACTTCTGTAATCATATTCAATAAAAAAATTTTAAAAAATGTCTCTTTGAGGCAGTAAACAATCAATTTTAAGAGTTAGAGAATCAAACACAGAATCTTAATAATTTTTTAATTCAATTTTTTAGACAGTCTACGTCAAGGAAATCTTTAATCAAACTGATTGCACTTTTTTGCAATTTCGAAGTTTGGACAATCGTTTTTAACAGATGGACAATCAATTTTAAGAATCGGTCATCAAAAACAGAATCTCAATCATTTTTTAATTAAATTTTTTAAACAGTGAACGTCAAGATAACAATTGTTCAAACAGATTTCACTTTTTTGCAATTTTCAAGGTTGGACAATCGTTTTTAACAGTTGGACAATCAATGTCAGGAGTTGGACAATCAAAAACAGAATCTCAATCATTTTTTAATTCAATTTTTTAAACAGTGAACGTCAAGATAACAATTGATCAAACAGATTTCACTTTTTTGCAAGTTCTAGGGTTCTCTAACGATTATTTAAATAGTTCTGATAATTAACAATAAAAAAGCGACAATGAAAAATCATAGTTCTAACTTTGCATAGCACAATGATTTTTGCAAAAAAGAGTTTTGACCTAATATTCTGAAAGAGAATAAAGAGTTCTAGAGTTCTCTACAAAAAAACAAAAGAGTTCTGCAAAATTTCCAAAGTTATTAACAAATTAAAAAAAGTTATGAAAATAATATTTTGCGAGTTCTGAATAGGGTTCAGGCATCGTTGCGAAGAGTTCTATAAGTATATCTAATAACATTTTGTTCTAAATCCAAAATCAAAACGGTTACGGGGCTTTGAAATTTTCTAAAATTTAAGAAATTTTTAAATTCAGAGTTCTGAGATTTCTAAAAAGAGTTCTGTCATCGTCATAAAGAGTTCTACAATTATTTCTAATGACATTTTGTTTAAATTTCAAAGTAAAAAAGTTAGGGGACTTTGAAATTTTCTAAAATTTTCAAAATTTTAAAATTCAGAGTTTTGAGAGTTCTGGCATCGTCATAAAGAGTTCTATAAGTATTTCTAATGACATTTTGTTTTATGTAAATCCAAAATCAAAAAAGCTACGCGACTTTGAAATTTTTAAAAATTTTCAAAATTATAAAATTCTGAGTTCTGAGAGTTCTGATTAGAGTTAAAGCATCATTGCGAAGAGTTCTAGAAGTAATTTTAATTACATTTTTGTCTAAGCACAAAATTCAAAAAGTTACAAGCCTACTTTTTCCAAGATTTTAAAATTCAGTGTACTCAAAGTTCTAATTATGGTTTTGACATACAGAACTCGCAAAATATTATTTTCATAAATTTTTTTAATTTGTTTTTTTTAAATCTTGCAGAACGCTGGTTTTTTGTAGAGAACTCTAGAACTCTTTATTCTCTTTCAGAATATTAGGTCAAAACCCTTTTTTGCAAAAATCATACTGCTATGCAAAGTTAGCACTATGATTTTTCATTGTCGCTTTTTTTATTGTTAATTATCAGAACTATTTAAAAAATCGTTAGAGAACTCTAGAACTATTGCTAAAGTGCCCAGAACTCTTGTAAAATTTTTGATTTTTCAAAAAAGTAGTTCCAACTTTACATGACGTACAAAAACTCAATCGAAATTCACTATAATTATCATCGACCTTAGCTGCCAAAAAAATTGACTTAAAAATTAATAAGTGACAGTTTTTGACTGTCCAATCCTAAGATTGAACTCCTAGAATTGATTGCGCAACCTTCAAAATTGCAAAAAAGTGCAATCAGTTTGATTAAAGATTTCTTTCACGTAGACTGTTTAAAAAAATGAGTTAAAAAAATATTCAGATTCTGTTATTGATTGTCCAACTCCTGAAATTGATTGTCCAACTGTTAAAAACGATTGTCCAACCTTCAAAATTGCAAAAAAGTGCAATCCGTTTGAATAAAAATTTCCTTGTCGTTCACTGTTTGAAAAATTAACTTAAAAAATGATTAAGATTCTGTTTTTGTTTGTCCAACTCCTGACATTGATTGTCCAACTGTTAAAAACGATTGTCCAACCTTCAAAATTGCAAAACAGTGAAATCAGTTTGAATAAAAATTTCCTTGACGTTCACTGTTTAAAAAATTTAATTAAAAAATGATTAAGATTCTGTTTTTGTTTGTCCAACTCCTGAAATTGATTGTCCAACTGTTAAAAACGATTGTCCAACCTTCAAAATTGCAAAAAAGTGAAATCTGTTTGAATAAAAATTTCCTTGACGTTCAGTGTTTGAAAAATTTAATTAAAAAATGATCGAGATTCTGTTTTTGATGTCCAATTCTTAAAATTGATTGTCCTTCTGTTAAAAACGATTGTCCAGACTTCGAAATTGCAAAAAAGTGCAATCGGTTTGATTAAAGATTTCCTTGACGTAGACTGTCTAAAAAATTGAATTAAAAAATTATTAAGATTCTGTGTTTGATTCTCTAACTCTTAAAATTGATTGTTTACTGCCTCAAAGAGACATTTTTAAAAATTTTTTTATTGAATATGATTACAGAAGTGAATTGTTTGTTGGACAAATTTGGACTAACCATGGACAAATGATTAGTGTAGTTGGAATTATTAAATTTGCATTTTTTAAATTTTTATTGATTTTCACCAGAAAAAGTGTTTTTTTAAAGTTCTGACAATGTGAATGATAACAGAAGGAAAGTATTTATTGGACAAACGTGGACTTACTCTAGACAAACGATTAATGTGTCAGGAACAGATAAATTAGCGTTTTTTTAAATTTTTAGTGGTTTTAAACTTAAAAATGCATTTTTTTCATTTTTCTTGTTAACAGAAGGTGGACAAATAAAAATTTTTGTTGGACAAACGTGGACTTATCGTGGACAAACGAATGCAATATAGAAATTTGAAAAATTTTAAGATGGGGCTCTCAACTTCACATAGCTATAAAATGCTTTATATAAATTCAAAAAATTATAATAAAATTGATCATAGAATACAATTATTATTTTCGTAAAATATAACATTCTTCCTAGGAAGACAATTATTGTCAAAAATGTTTATGAAAATCTTCGAAACAATTCAATTATTTTTGTATAAAATAAAATTCTTCGAAGCAAATCAATTATTTAAGAAATTTTAATAAAATTCTTCTCACACGGAGAAACTTTTTCTTCTAATATTGAATATATTTGGTTATCTTTATTCTAAAAGTACGTTAGAATGTGAGGATTTTTCGTGCGTTGTGCTAATAATTTCAACATTAATACGAAAATATGATAAGTTCGTTATATATTAAGCAACCTTCGGTGTACAAAAATTACTATCTGCATTAGAAATAGTCTTATTTTTCTTTAGAAAAGAATAAGATGCCAGTTTTTGTTTGTGAAATAATACGGTAATTCTAACCTTTTTTACACATATAGATAGAATATATAACAGACATTCTAACGTAACATACCAATTTTGGAAGGACTGCGGGCGGACTTAACCGATTTCACCCGAGCATCACCGAGTCCATCACCTGACGTCGCGAACTAACCCTTATGTTTTCGAAGTTGAAATTCACACGTGTATGAAAGAAAAAAACCTTTTATTAATAAACGTGAATGTCTCCTCATGCCAAATTAAATTCAAGAACTGTTCCTCAATATAACATAATTTTTTTCACGACTTTTACTTATTTACATAATTTGATTAGAAAGTTATTTAAAAAAATGCTCTCTCTCGAAGGTACATATTTTTCCACTCGTTTAATATATAAGGACGATTCAGCTGTGTACTTCTAACGAATCGTGCGATCTTTCGGTTTCCGTGACCAATCGTCGTGTCTTTACTTGCGTGTGCGTGTGTGCGTTAATAATATAGGTTAGGTTCTTACGTCGTGTTAAATATATTTACCTACAGTTACAGTGACATACACTAATGCCATCTACCATCAGATCCAAGTATCACTATCGTCTCTATGAGTATCTATAGACAATTAATTTGTTGTGTTTCTTTTTAATTCATGGCTTTCCCAACTTTGCAAAAATTATTATTTTCTTTCTAAAACAACATACTAATTTTCGTTAGTTTCCTTATGAAGAACTGTAAAATATATACTGAATGAGTGTTTTTGATAGTCTCAATAGCAATTTCTATAACCTATGTCGTGTTTCCCTTGAATCTAACCTAACATACTAAAATGTCTCACCAGTTTTAAGAATTAGTGGTATTAAAATAAGTTTCTCCGTGCAAGAATCCAAGGGCTGGAAAATTAAGTCGAAACGTAATGTAATATAAGGAAATATATTGTGCAATAAAAAGACCAAATAGAAAAAGAAACTAAATTGAAAACCTTTTATATTTTGAATAAAATTCTTCACAAGAAATTAATTATTTTCATAAATAATAATATTTTTCTCCAGAATTCAATTTATTATTTTCACAAATAAATTTTTTCATAGGAATTCAATTCTTTAAAAAAAATTTAAATAAAATTTGTTTCACTCATGTTTTATAAGTTATCGAATTTCAAAAGGTTTGAATTTTTGAAAATCTTAATTCCTTTAGAAAAATAATTATTTTTTAATCAGAATATTCTTGATATTCTTCTGGGTCAGGGAAAAAGTCCAAATTTTGTCTGAAAATCAGGCAAAAGTCAGGGAAAAACAAAATTAAATTTTTGTGGTAACCCACAGTGGGCCAGAGGAGACCAAAAGTGGCAAGAAACCAAGTTTCATATTTCAAAAAAGTACTTACTCTGTCATAAAAAGTACACCTTAAAGTAGTATTTTTGAAATTTTTACAGATTTTCGTTAAAAAATGTACTGTTAGTAATGCAATACATTTAGAAATTATGTTTAAAATTAAAAATTCGTATTTTTCCTAAAATAATTATTTTTTCTTCTATTCTGTATTTTTATATAATTTCTAATGACCTCTTTTACTAATAGGTATACGGCAACATAAAAAAATAGTTTTCTATATCAAAAATATTTGTAAGATACTTTTTTTTACAGGTTTTTACATGATTCGTTGAAGTTTTTATTCTTGTGCTTACTTTCGATTGACAGTTCCCTTAAGTTCCACTACATACAACAGTTTATTTTATGTCAATCTCTTCCTTAGATCATACAGTTCAAGAAAATGTTGCGCTTTTTTGCGCGTTTTTCTATTTAACCCCTTGGCAGTCTATGACGTGTATACACGTCATGGTGCAGGTGGGCTCAAACTGTCGATATTGTGTCTAGACTCAAGTAGATTTGTGGCTAGATTAACAGACAGATTTGTCCCAAAATTGTTACTCGCTGTATATGAGTCTGATTTCAAATTTTTAAAATTCAAAATGGTTGATCCAATATGGCGGACATTTTCAAAAATTTATCGGATTCACTACTTAAAGCTTGATACTCGGGGGTTTTCGTGCACGGAGAGAAAATATATATTAAATTTTGTAAAAGTATTTTACAAATTGGGAAAAAAGTGCGACAAAGCGAAATTTTAGTATAAAAAATAATAAACTTTAAAAAAACTTATGTGAAATATAATAAAGTTTTATTAGAATTTAATTAATATTCTTGATATTTGATACAATTATACTAAATTTCACATAAGTTTTTCAGCCCCGTGAAGTTGGCACACCAAGTATAAGGAAAACAGGTTTACTGGTATGGAATCGTTTGGTGGTGTTTGGTATCCAAGTTTGGTCGTTTGGTGGTCAAAATTAAAAAAGTTACAATGATTTAAAGTTTTTAGTGCTAATTTCACGGCTGCAACACATATATGAATATTTTCGAAAAATTCCTTTTGGTATCGTTTTGTGGTCGTTTGATGGTATTTGGTATCCAAGTTTGGTCGTTTGGTAGTTGAAATTATCAATTATAACTCAAAAATAAATTTTTTAAAGTGCACACATACGTGCTTCCAATTGTCATTTGGCGCGAAAATTCAAACTGTAATTTTTAAGTTTTCTGTTCATTTCTTAATAACACTTTCAAATTTTTTTAGTTAACAGTAATTTACATGCATTATGTAAATTTTAAGTTGATGATATTTACAATATTACATAATAATGAAGTAAACTAATCAAAAGTTGTACATAGCTGGTTGTTATTTAGAAAATCTTTTTCTACCTTTCACGTAGTACACCACACGATAACTAAAAGGCATTAAAATGTTAACATTTACTCAAAACGATAACTTGAAGTTATCAAAAAGAGAAGTGTGCCCGCTGGGTAGTTACCATTTGCAAAAAAAATATCAATAAAGCGCTAACGTTACAGCTGCAATGCATATTTGCATGTTTCTTGAAAATGCCTTTTTGTAAAGTTTGGTAATTTAAAAAAAAACGAAATACATATTTATAAGTAAGTAAATTATAAAAAAAATTAAAATAAAAATTAAAGTGAAAATTAGGTATACATGATGGTAATTTTACATTTTTACGCATAAATTTTTAATCTTATGTTTTAAATAATATAAAACTATATAATAAAGTTTAATCCAAATGAATTAAATGACTTTAAAGAACATTTCATTTCTTATCATAGAAATTATCATTAATCATTTATGATACCAAAGTTCTGAACGTTCAAATGAACGAAATTTTATTTTTCTTTAAATTTCAAATCTTTTAATAGAAATTCTTAAATCCGATGCTCAATAATTATCAAAACAATCGTTTTTTAATTTTTTTTTATGAATGTGCCTTACTATTATAAAATTACTGTTCGAAAACATTTTTAAAGACATGTACAAAAAATATGAAATGTTTTAACAGCTTTTATGACCGTTTAATCCACTTAAATATTTTACGAAATCTTTAAACGCAATCTTATTGGAAATAAATTGTTTTAAAAGATCAGACACTTTCTTTTAAAATGTATTGAACCGATTTTCAAAACCCAAAAACCATTCAATTTTTTATCTGAAGAATTTGATAAAATTTTTATTTAATTACATTTAATTGCTTTTAATTTATGTTTTTATGTTTATATCGTTTAATTTATATAACTTTTAAAAATAGTTTTAACAAATTTTATTTTATATATTAATGTGTCATAAAATCCTGAAAATATGTTGAGATGTATGTATGTATATGCATGCCTTTCCTTTGAATAAGATAACTCAAGGATGTTTTAATGAATTTTTATTTTATTTTTAATTTTTTCTTTCGAATATTACAGTTAAAATGTAATAAAAGCTTATTCTTTGTTTCACAACAAATCGATTAGTATATAAAGTATAAATTTCAATAGAATGAACATCTGGATTTACAACTTGTTTAAATTTTTTTTGAAAAATTTGTATAGTCAAAGTAAGAATTCTAACTGTCAATACATTTGCGGCTTTTAAATTATAATTGTGTCAAATGAATGCTTCTTGTGAGCTAAAAAGATAAGAATAGGGTGTATGATAGATGAAGTATTATGACGACACTCCTGATTATCATGATTTGTTCCTTGTAGTACAAAATGGACAATTGCATCTTGTTCAATCTCTGCTCGAGAAATATTCTTTGACAGAAAAGATGTGCAGCAGGACATTACTGCATATGGCGGCTGCAAGAGGACATGTAGAGATAGCTAAACTATTCACCACTCAGGGAGACGGAATAGTAAATACACAGCTGCATTTGGCGATAAACGGAAACCAACCTGAGGTATTCAATCCTTTTTTAAAAGAGAGTAACCTGAACGCAAGATTTCTCTGGGATGAAAGGTCACTTCATTATACAACTTGTACAATTGCTTTCAATTTACAAAAATTAATTATAGAGAATGATGCCATTATTGACAAAACAGATAGTGAGGATAAAACACTTATGTACGTTGTGCTGGAGAAAGAAAACGTTCAAATAGCAGAAATTCAGTTTAAACATGGTTGTGCATGAACATTTGCAAAAAAATATTTTGAATGATTGATTTTGATGAATGAATGCAACGTGCGAGGTGGCTTGATTGCATTTGAGTGAATTGTAGAAGAGGAAAAGAAATAATAAATCGACCACTTTCGGAAAAAAATCGTCATTAACATTACGATTAAAAGAGGCGATTATGACGACACTCTTGATTATCATGATTTGTTCTTCGTAGTACAAAATGGAGAATTGCATCTTGTTCAATCTCTGCTCGAGAAATATTCTTTGACAGAAACGATGTGCAGCAGGACATTACTGCATATGGCGGGTGCAAGAGGACATGTAGAGATAGCTAAACTATTCACCACTGAGGGAGACGGAATAGGAAATACACAGCTGCATTTGGCGATAAACGGAAACCAACCTGAGGTATTCAATCCTTTTTTAAAAGAGAGTAACCTGAACGCAAGATTTCTCTGGGATGAAAGGTCACTTCATTATACAACTTGTACAATTGCTTTCAATTTACAAAAATTAATTATAGAGAATGATGCCATTATTGACAAAACAGATAGTGAGGATGAAACACTTATGTACGTTGTGCTGGAGAAAGAAAACGTTCAAATAGCAGAAATTCAGTTTAAACATCGTTGTGCATGAACATTTGAAAAAAAAATATTTTGAATGATTGATTTTGATGAATGAATGCAACGTGCGAGGTGGCTTGATTGCATTTGAGTGAATTGTAGAAGAGGAAAAGAAGTAAGCAATCGAATATAAGACCAATAAATATAAACGTTGTTCATCTTTTGAATATTAAAGGGTAATATTTCGCGTCTAATGCTAATAATGAACATAACGAAGAGGATATAACGAATTTGTTTAAGTTGGTAGTAGCGCGTTTTACATTGTTGACCACAGACTATCATCCAGATGTGTTATAATTGTGAAACAAACAATCTCAATTAAAATTTTTTTGACAAATTGTTAAAAGTAAAGTTAAAAGTTATTTTCCTCCATTTTTTTGTCATTCTTCTTTTTTTCGAATTGTTTCACTCTTGCGTCCCGCCAGTTTTTAACTCCTTCTGACAACACTGAAATAAAACAAGTGTTATTTATCACCAACTTTTGGTTAAAACAAAATTAAAATTCAATTAAAAATGCAATAACTTATTATATAGAAATATTATTATAAAAAATGAAGACATCGATTACTCCGATTCTTTGACTCGAAGTGATCGATGTCTTCATGTTTTATAATAATTAAATATGACAAAATCATTATTTCATGTTATAAGAATATTCTTCTTCAAAATTATTTTCATCTTTTCAAGTCAATTATTATTTACTAGAATTTTCAACTAAAATTCTCCTTCAAATCAATTGCTTTTAATAATTTAAAAAAGAATTTTTTTAAAGAATTTTCAAATCCATTTGTTTACAATTTAATTTTAAAAAATTTCGATCATTCGGGAATTCCTCGAATAATATTAGAAAATAAAAACTTGAAATAAATTTTTAAAAATTCAATTAAACTTTTTTAAAAAAATTAATTCTACAAAAATCTTAGTTAAAAGTATGAAAAATTTAAATTTTCAGAGATTTTAATTTAAAACCTATTAAAAATTCAATTATTTCTAAAACTCCACACTATAATGCTTTTAATATTCAATTATAAAATGTTAACTTAAATTCCCTTAAAACCAATTTTTATAAAAAAAATTCTACGAGAATTCAATTATTTAAATGCAATTAAATAGATAATTTTTTGAATAATTAAATGTTTTTTAAAATTGAATTCTTATAAAGAGTTAAATCCAAATTTCTTAAAATAATTGTGAAAATTAAATGTTTGCGTAGAATCTCATTAAAATTTTTTTCAAAAAATTCAATTCATTTGAAAAATTTTATTAAAATAGCATAGATATTGAAAATCATTGAATTGAGGAAAAATTTTGAAAATAATTGAAATTTTACCAAAAATTTGTTAAAATTGTTTTGAAAATAACTGAATTTCGGAGGAGAAACATTCAATTATTAACTAATTTACAAATTCATTATTTTTGTTTATTAATTTCAAAATTTTTAATGAAATTCTTCGCGCAACAATTAAATTATTTTCCTAAATAGTAACATTCTTTGTAAGAATTATTATTACTTACATAAATAATACTCATCGCAGAATTTAAATTACTTTTTTAAATAATAAAATCTTTGCAAAAATTCAATTATTTAAAAAAAAATTCACGAAAAAAACAATTGCACATGCAGAAACTAAATAATTTTTTTGTTAAATAAATTAAAATTATAGCAGCAAAATTTTAATTTGAGAATAAAATTACCAAAAAAATTCATTCTTTTTTTTATGATTTTCATAAAATTTAGACTTTTTCCGTGACATTAAAAAATATGCTGATTTACTCCAAAAAGAAATAGATACTTTTTTTATTGACGAATGTCTTTAATTGTAAAATTTCTGAAAACCATCAATAGTTTTATTCCAAATGAATATCTTATCATATTAGAAATCTTTTACGTCCTTCAATATTTAATATTTGAAAATAAGACGGACTACACAAGGACAATAACATTCAACGATATTTTCATTCAAAATACTGGCAATATGAATGAACACACCGTTGATTGTTATCGACTTTGTGTAGTAGTCTTATTTTCAATTTAGAAATACTTTCTTTCAAATATTTTCCTACAAAAATTAAAATTTTAAAAAAGTCAAACATTCTGAAATTCAACAAGTTATAAAAGTATTATTGTAAAACAATGTTTTATAATAATTAAATATAACAATAAAAATTTGTTTCCAATTATATAAATATTGTTACGATAACTCATTGAAAATTAATTCTATGCACTTTCAATTAAATTTTTTTTATTTATCTGCATAAAAATTTTTTACTTACCATCACTATATGATCTTTTATTTTTTTTTTTTTTGCATCCTCTGGAGACGACAATTCATTCGAATCGCTTAAGGAGGTGCAGCTTCTTGTCCTTAAACTGCTAGTAGAAGAATCGTCTTCACTGGAACTCTAAAAATTTTTTTTAAATTACCAAATAAACTATTACTTAACTCTTACTTTACACAGTAAAAAGTAAATATTAATTTAAGATCGGTCTTAAATTCATCATTGTCTGCTATAATGTTAAAGGATTTAAAATACGTGCGTAAATTCAGCATTTACTGCCTTAAAAATGTTGCATCTTAATTTAAGTCTGCTTTTCTGCCTTAAAATAAGACTTTCTTTTTACTGTGTAATATATAATAAAAAAAGAAATACTTACAGAAGATTTGCGACTCATTATAGCCAAAGGTGAATTGTTGTATCACTGGCGATTGAAAACTCTGGGGATTCGTTTCACTTTATCAACTTTCCAGCACGAGAAATAACTTGAAAATGGATGAGAACGTAGTCAGAAGTAGTTAGTCGAAGAAGTCGGATAGGGGAAATCTAATATGGCTGCTATCAACTGTTTCATTGGAGGATAAGCAGTCTATGGAACAATATAAGTTTTTCGTCAAAAAGTTTCGAAATATTTATTTTCCAAGTAAAGTGTAAAAATTACCGCGTAATGGTATTTTTTAATTATTATAAGATATTTCATCCCCATTATAGGGGGTAGAAAGAGACGTTAGCGAGAGTTCTAGTTTTTTGGAAGTTGTTAAGAAAAATAATTAGAAATTTTCTGCGTTGAAAAAGTTGAAAAAAATTACCGCGTAATGGTATATATAGACTTATTATTATAATACCCCTATCAGGGGTGTCGGTTTTCACCCCTATTGTTTAAAAGTTTCAGTTTTTTTGATGGATTTTGTTTTCTGGCATCGGATTTAAGAATTTCTATTAAAAGATTTGAAATTTAAAGAAAAATAAAATTTCGTTCATTTGAACGTTCAGAACTTTAGTATCATAATCATTTAAAATATTTTTCGACACTTATAAAAACTGCTAACGATATATGTAATAATTAAATAATCTTTTAAAAAAACTTTTAAACACCCTTAACAAATTGCTGAAAACGACGCTTATTATTTTATAGTCTTTATGTAACTCTTAAAGTTTACACCTTTAGGTTTTTTGTTTTATCTTTTTACATCAAAACTAGTGTTATCACTCTTAAACAAAAATTATTTTTCATAAAGATGTTTTTTTATATATTTTAATGAGAATAAAAAATATAGATGTATATTATTTTTCAATCTGTTCATATAACTCTTAATTTTTAAATACTTGGAAATAATTATTCTACGAATTTAGCTTTAATATTTACATGTACTGTACTTCTATATGTAACTGATGCCGGGTAAATATGACATCTAAAGTATTATTTACATCTTATACCTTACAATATTTTTCGCTTTCAATAACATTCAAAATTACTCTCTGCATTGTAGATACTGCCACATTGTGCTCATTATATCTGATTTTTTAGGAACTGAGAGGAACATGTATTATTCATTTATTTTTATATTAATAATAGCACCTGGTTGAATCTCTTCATTTTTTGCATAAGTGACGTTTTTACTGAAGTCATCATAAATTTCCCACTTCTTAAATTTTCTCGTACAAAGAGCTATGTAGTGTTCTCTTTCACTGATGTAAATAACGATGCCAGTCAACCTGGGAATAAACGTATCAAATTAATTACATTTATATAACAGTAAAAATATTTATACTAAATGTTTCGTTTATTTGTTATTTGAAATGTTATAAAAGATATCATTTAAATTTAACATTAATAAATTTATATTAACTTTTAAAACACAAATTTTAATAACTGCTTTTTAAATCTTTGATTTTACATATATATGTATATAGCAAATTATAGAAAAAGTATATTTAAAAATATTTAATACTTACATGAACTTGTCTCCATAAAGTGTGATGTAACGAGGAAGCTCTGATGCTTTGCATTTTTGAGGGGCTATAGTGCCATCAATTTTTCTTACATCTTCATCTATAAGAATATGTGCATTCATTTTTAAGGACTCGAAAGGCTTTTGTCCACATTGACAATTTTGAATATCTGAATTGCCCCATTTATAAATGATGGCCTCCTGTAATCCTTGAAACCCATTTTTGTCAATTATTTTAGGATTCAAATAAAAGTAAGACACTTCTTCTATTTTGAAAAATCCACACTTACAATGAGTCATTCGGTAAGCACTCGGTTCACCTTTCATGACATATTCCCACATATCTGCTACGTTAGAAAACACATTGATGCTTTTCAATATTTTTGGAGATTCGATGACTTTCTTAGTTTCTTTCCCACGTTCTGGAAAATCTTTCAGTAATAAACATCTTTCATTATAAACATTATTACTTTTTTTATATTTGCTCTAGAGTTCAGTAACAGTTTAAGAAATTGGCAAGTTCTGTTATTTGAATTTTCAATATGGATCAAATACTCTGGAATTTCCATTGCGCTGGTTAATAGAACTTGAATGCACTCTCTAAATTTGAATTAGTAGAATTCTACTAATTCTTAGTCAAATTCTACTAATTGAAAAGGGGAAAAGTCTTCCACTAAGAATTAGTAGAAAACTACTAATTTAAAAAGTTATTTTTCGCTACTAATTGAATTTGTAGAATGTCAATGCGCATGCTCCCGCGTGCACCTTTTTCTCCCGCTAATATTTGAAATTTTCTATAGTGTTTATTTTTCAAAAACTTATTTAAAAAAATAAAAGATACATGAATTAATGAAAATAAAGACCAAATAAAAATTTTGTAATTTAAATTTGATCAAAATTTTTATTAACTTTTGTATCTTTAATTTTTTTAAAATATGTTTTATGATACAATTTGATTTTTACAGTTACCACAAAATATATACTATCATTACAGTTTAATAAACATTGGTTTATTTGCAAGATGATGAAGATATAATGATTGATACAGTGCTTTAAGTGTGAAGATCGTAGATACAAGAATAAACTTTTAAAACATTTAAAAAAAAAAAATAATTAAATAGTGTGTTTTAACATTTTAACGACGAGTATTTTAGTTTTTAAAAATTTAGTTTAGTTTACTTTTAGTACTTATTAAATAAAAATAAATACTTAAATAGTGTGAACACACTCGGATTGTTAATATTAACATTTTAACGTCAATTAAACATCAAGTAACAAGTAATCTATTTTTTAAAAATCTTATAGAATTTTTTAAAAAATTTTCAAGTAAAGTTTTAATACAAAATAAAAATAATGTATTAAACATTTAATATACTCTTCTTATACAAAAAGATTTCTTAAATAAATTTTTAAAAAATTTATTTTTAATGTTCCAGAGTTCGGCAAACCAAAAAAAAATCAAGTCAATTAACCTGCGTTTCACAAAGTTTTGCCCACCGTCGGGCCAACCGTGGCCCAGAGTTCGGCCAACCAAGAAAGTTTAAGTCATTTAAACTGCATTTAACAAAGTTTTGCCAACCGTTGGGCCAACCGTGGCCCAGAGTTCGGCCGACCAAGAAAGTTTAAGTCATTTAATCTGCATTTGACAAAGTTTTGTCATCCGAGGCCCAGAGTTCGGCCAACCAAAAAAAATCAAGTCAATTAAACTGCGTTTCACAAAGTTTTGCCCACCGTCGGGCCAACCAAGAAAGTTTAAGTCATTTAAACTGCATTTGACAAAGTTTTGCCAACCCAGAGTTCGGCCGACCAAGAAAGTTTAAGTCATTTAATCTGCATTTGACAAAGTTTTGTCAACCGTCGGGCCAACCGTGGCCCAGAGTTCGGCCAACCAAGAAAGTTTCAGTCAATGAAACTGCGTTTCTAGAGTTTTGGAAACCGTTGGGCCAACCGTGGCCCAGAGTTTGGCCGACCAAGAAAGTTTAAGTCAATGAAACTGCGTTTCTTGAGTTTTGCCAACCGTCGGGCCAACCGTGGCCCAGAGTTCGGCCAACCGAAACTGAAAGTCTTTTGAACGACGTTTTGATGAGTTGTGCCAACCTTTGTCGCTAAAGTTGGCCCGACGGTTGGTTAAACTCTGCATTTAATGGTTGGCTTGCAAAGTCGGGCCAACTGTGGGCACTAGTACTTGCCAAAGTTGGGCAAACTCTGGCAACCAAAACTTCGCTTGCCAAAGTTAGGCCAACCTTCAAACTCTGGCGGCTAACCTAAATTCGCACCTGGGAAGACATTCAGTTTCACAAGAAAAATATTTCTAATAGAACCAGACCTTTAATATGCAAAGTAAATCCGCATTTGGCATTTGTTTAATATTATTCGTCTCCATCAATTTAATTCTTTTTCCATTCTTTTTACGGCCATCTTCTTTGGCTCCTGTTTTAAAATTCGAATTAGGAAGAATTTCCGGCAAGAGTATTAAGGCTCTTAGATTTTCTGTAATAGTAAATAGTTTTATTAATATTACAGTTTAGATTAAAATAAAAACAATTATTAGAAATAATTACCGTCTTTAATAACACAAGAAGCTTCATAAACGATGGAATGATTTTTCTTTGCGTAGGCAATAATTCTTTGCGCATAAAAAGAAGAAAATAGCCCTAAAAAATTTTCCTTTTCGACCTTCTTTTTTCCCATGATTGCCTCGTATTCCAGTTCGATCTATAAAAAGATTACAAATTACTCTTATGAAAATAAAGACATTTTTTTAATTCGAATGCTGCAGAATCAATTACTATTGCTTACCATAGCTCCATCATACTTAAAGAGCATTGGATATTCCTCTACGATTTCTAATATAGATGGGCCAGCTTCTTCAATCCACTTCCTCCTATTTTCGAACGTTTCGCACAAATAGGATTCCACTCGAGTACCTTTTTCTTTAGTTGCCATTGTTAATTGCATCCAAGATTTCTGTATAATTTTATATATTGTAAAATAATATTAAATCATACAACTAAAACATTCCATATGTCATTTTCATTTTTTATTAAAAGAAAATTAAGTTTAAAGACAATTTCTTTCAAAGTATAAAGTCATCTTTTTTAAAAATGCAGTCATTTGAAGAATTTTGTTTTATTTCAGAAGAAAATTAAAATAAAATATTTTGTAAGAAAAATGAATAATGGAATGTCTAATATAGATGTATACAGTAAATTTATACAATAAACCTTCTCTTTTAGTTCTTCTTCTGATAATAAGAAACTTGTTGAAGTGTCTGACATTGACTTTCCTGATGAGATTGGTGTACTAATTTTGCTCTGTGATTGATATTTTTTTTCAGAAATAGGGAGGATCTTACGCCAATTGGCAAGTCGATATTCAATAAAGCCAACTCTGGTTTCTTTGTCAAAATAATGTTCCTGCAAAAAATTTATTTAATACATTTATATGCAGGTGGCTTCTAATTTAATAAATATGAAATTCAATTATTCTTATGCATCCGTAAACTCCCATATCACTTTTTAGTGTAGGAAATTCATCCACAATTGCTCTTGCTAGGGCCCATTTCGTCTCATCAGGAGGATAACTGATTTTATTTCATATAATTAAAAATAGATATAAAGCATAGTTTGTAAATTAAAAGAATTTCAAACACAAGTAATGAAAATACCGAAGTTTAGCATTGGAAAGCAATTAAAGTAAAATAAATTAAATGTTTAAATTTTAAAACGTTAATTAAAATCATAAATAAATATAATAAGTAGAAATGACATACTGATTGTTGTCGTGAAACTGAACTAACTCTGCGACAAGTATTCGAACAAATCTTCTTCTTTTTAATTCTCCGAAGTTATTAGATTCGATGTCATTAATAAGAGCTGCACCCTGAGAATTGTTTTCAAGAATGTCTCTGACAGTACTGAAATTCTTTAAATTAAAAACAATTAATACAAATAATAAACATATTGGAATAAGAATTTTGAAAAAAAATTTGAAAAACTCACTGAAAACTTAATAGGATTTTTCGACCACGAATTATCAGCTTGAGTAAGTTGTTTAGGAACAGAGTTTTCTACGGTTGTCGCAATTAAATTTAATTCTCCGTGATCAAAAACATTATATAAGCCCTAAATTTTCCAATTCAAAATTAGTAACAGTAATAAATATATATTAATTTTACAATTTTTGTTAAAAGAAATTAACATACTTCTTTGACTGGTTTATCCTGTTGAATTAATTTCAATAATTTTTTTTTGGCCCTAATTTTATCCCCATGTCTTCTAAGTCTTTCATTGTTAAATCATAAAAAGCCTCACCGTCTATCATTTGATCTGCAAAAATAATATATTATTAACACAAATATATAGATTTAAAGAGAAAACAGGCAAAAACAAATGCAAAATATAATAAATAAAACAAGCACTACACTAACTATACTAACTTATACCATTAAAGCTATAAAATTTAATTTCTGATTAGCAAAAATATCTAAACTGTAAAACTTAAAATATTATAATTAAAATTATATTTCACACACGGCAAGAAACAGTGTAAACACTTACTCTTTAAATTTTTGTTTTTTCAATGTTGAATAAAGTTTGAATAGATGTACTTTTACATTTGTCATCTTAATAATTACGTATAAAAGAAATGAAATTTTTCTTTATGGTCCACAAAGCAAACGATATTTACGTTTTTGTACCTTTATAAAATGACGTGACGTAAACTGATAAATTGTTTGTCTGATGTTGCATGTGTCCATGCATCGTATGGACGGTAGAAGGCAAGATGTGAAGTAGGTAAGAAAGTAATTGTCTGTTCATCTACGCATTCAATGGCATATGCGTTAAAGTCGGAATCAAAATGTAATGTATAGTAATTAATTACACGTAAATATACAATAGAATTTTGTGTAATAATTATCTCGTTAATTTTTCCAAAACTCGGCAAGTTGAACTCATTTTTTGATGGCGCACCAAGGCAAACAAAACACCCTGTCGCATATAGAGTTCCATTGACGCGTACAGATTTAGTTTTAAAGATAGAATCATTTTCTTGGTACCCTAAGTCTCGTAAATTATTTTCGCTAAACTGTTTATAATTGATACTGTTTTACCACCCTGAGCTTTAACAGAGTATAGTTTAACATCACCTACTCCCCACATACTACTCTCGGCACACTGACTTACTTTTATCAAAGTTTTTGGTGCGTTTTTGAAATTACAAACGACCTGAGCCCGCTGTTTCATTGGTCCGTGCTTGGCCTCGTACCTCATGCACCATAATTTCGACAGAGGTCCTGACTCATCTAGACATTCATTGTAATGTTTCATGTGATGAAATTTGTTTATATAGTTGATTTCCGGAAACAGAACTTTAAATAATTCGCAAAAATCATCAATAAGCTGTTTTAAGTAAGGCTGCATACTTCTCTTGATTTTAGGTGCGAAAATAATTTCCATCACACGCAATAACAGTAAAACTAGCCTCATATGTTTATCACCACTTGGAACCTTTTCGGCGAGTAAAAATGGAAAAGCGCGAAGAAGACACCAACATTGCATTCCTTTTTGGCTAATAGAATGGTCATTTATATTGCGTAGTCTTGCTTCATTAAAATTTGCAGACGGCTTGTTTTTTTGTTCCATTCTACCATATTGAAAAGCCGCGATTTTTTTATTCAGATATTCTACGTTAAATACTCTCAAAACAAAAATGTAGTAATGCAAGATTAATTTCAAAATTATAGGACTTATACCGAGTAATATATCATGCAAGATATCGAAATTTTTATTTCTGGCAAAGTGGAAATATTTGGAAAAATTTAGAGAACACTCTTCACGTACCCCTGTCGCAGTCATGACATTCTCAATGTCTCTCTTGTTGGGACCGGCATTTCTTATGCGATTGAGATGTTCAGTAACAACTTCGACAGATCTTTCAGCCCTGGGATTTATATTTCCTGCTAGAAGATCATTTCTACTTATAAGACATGACCTACAAAACATTCTAGCAGAGGGTCCTAATAAGCCAAAAAGTTCATCTGCCGCCAAAGTATCCCCACAGAAAGCAGCAATGCTGGCTCGAAGTGTAAATGGCTCACCATCTAGAGTAATGATTACCCCTTCATCGCTTTCGAGTTTTTCAAGATCCTTTAAAAATGGCTTTAAAATGCGTCGAAATTTGTATTTTTTAATATCAGCTGAATAACAAAGGCTTAATATATGTATGCTACCTAAGACAGAATTTAAATTATCGGGAATATTTTGAATCCTAAACAAAAGAACTCCTAAGTTATGAACTCCTGTCTTTGAGCCTAGAGGGTTTACAATTTCTAAACCGTCGTAATATAATTCTAAGCGTAAGACGTGCGGATATCTTTGGAAAAACGGATTATTTTTAAATTGATTTCCATCGATAAATGAACCGAGAATACCCTCTTCTGATGGTTGTTCTGATAAAATGGCTTCTTTAACCTCCTTGTTAGATAAAACCAAAGAAAATCTATAGGTGAAACATATTGGTAAGTTTCTTCGACAAGTTTAGGTACATATGTTCCTGTTGATGCGGAATTTTGTGTGAAAAAAAATCCATTATGAACGTTACTCGACTAAATTAAACAAAACCAAATAAAGATTTATTATTTAGGGATTTAAATTATCAAACAATAAATTACAACTGCATATTTTGTTAAAATTTTTTTTCTACCAACCGTCGTATAAATGTACCCTTAAACACAGCTCGAACGCTATAGACAATCCTCTACAGAACTTGATTAAACATCTATGCAAGTCAACTACAGTATTGAATTCACTGCTTAATTAATAAATACAGTAATCAAATTTTAAATTTTTGTTATTAAAAACAACATACATATATAGGGAAGAGTGGAGCAAACTGGCCCGATGGTTAGGGTTGGAAAATGACGCGTCATTTTTTGTTTTTGATGTAGATTACGTAGAATAAGTAATTTACGTAGACAATTGTAGAAAACCCATGTAATTTACATTTTCAAGATGGCGGCCATTAAAAGACTTAAAAAAATACAAACCCTCTTGAAAAGTTTGCTTTTCAGGTTATATCACGTGACAAAATACATTAATGTAAATTACGTAGAAAACTCTTGACGTAAATTACCAAGTAATCTACATGTAAACAACTACGTAGATTACCTTAGGTAGTTTACGTTCCTAACCCTGCCGGTGGGTAAACCGGCCAGGTCTGAATATTTCCGAAATAGCTAAATTAGGAAAAGTGTTGTTTGCAAATTTAAAACAACCATGTTTAGTATACTCAAAAAGACTGTATAGGGTCAAAATAAGTGAAACCGGCCACTTGAAAAATTTTTATCTCCAATTTTCAAGTTATCTATGATTTTTAGTAGATATATGAGTACACTTTTTCCCCCTAAAATATTTTTCAAAAAAAAATTTTATTTTTGAAGTAATTAGGTATTGAAGTTTTAGGTCATTTTATTTTCATTTTATTATTACTTTGAAACAAATAAAGATAATTAAGTAATTTTTTTAAAATTAAAGCTTAAAGTCTATACTTTAAAGATAAAATAAAGCGATTGCTAAAAAATGAAAATTTATAATTGTTATTAACAATTCTTTTAAACAATTGCAAATTGAAGAATGTTCTCAATGTTTTTGAAAGATTAAATTACGATATATTGATGCGCAAAACTATAAGGATTCATTTAAAAAAAAGAAAAATGAGTAACTTCCAATATTATAGAAATTATGTAAATTTTGTTGACAAAATGCAAGCAAAAATTGACTCAAGTTCCTGGAAAAAGATAAAATTGCAAACGAATAAATAAGATCTTCTTTTGTTTTGTTAGAAACTTCACGCTTTCAAGCGGATTTTTAAGATTAAAAATCGATTTTGGCCTGCATTTTGGCAGAAAAATCTACACAATTTCTATAATATTGGAGGTTACTCATTTTTCTTTTTTTTAAATGAATCCTTATAGTTTTGCGCATCAATATATCGTAATTTAATCTTTCAAAAACATTGAGAACATTCTTCAATTTGCAATTGTTTAAAAGAATTGTTAATAACAATTATAAATTTTCATTTCTTAGCAATCGCTTTATTTCATCTTTAAAGTATAGACTTTAAGCTTTAATTTAAAAAAAAATTACTTAATTATCTTTATTTGTTTCAAAGTAATAATAAAATGAAAATAAAATGACCTAAAACTTCAATACCTAATTACTTCAAAAATAAAATTTTTTTTTGAAAAATATTTTAGGGGGAAAAAGTGTACTCATATATCTACTAAAAATCATAGATAACTTGGAAATTGGAGATAAAAATTTTCCAAGTGGCCGGTTTCACTTATTTTGACCCTATACCTTATTTTTTCAATCTGGTAGTTTTAGCTTGTGTTTGTGCAACGCTGCCCGAATAAAAATTAAGCTCCGATCTATGTAGCCTCTATGTCATCTGGCCTACTGTGCGACATAGGCCTGCGAGTTAAAACTAACATACAGTCTATGACGGAAATGTAACGCTCGGCTACATAGACTATACATGGGCTTAACAATGTAGGACCTACATAAAGGTTCTACATAGGCTCTATGTAGGTAAATATACATACGATCTACGTAGGATTGGAATGTAATATTTATATAGGCCAAATAATATAGAATCTACATAGAGTGTAAATGTCATCTCTACATATACAAACTGATGTCAAATCTATGTGTATGTAGTATCTATCTAGGCCAAATAATATACAGTCTATATAGAGTGTAATTTGTTCTCTACAAATAGAAGAAATTTATATTTAGTTTAGTTTGGTGTTGAAATTAATTGTAAATATTTTATTATTCTAGTTCTAATAAACAAACAGAAATTACAATTAAATAAAAGAATAAAATTAAAACAATTTCATTATATTTATATACATTTATTCAGTTCCAGTTTTTCATAAGATAAAAAAAATTAAACTCGTATTTATGATACACAATTTATTTATAATTATTTTATATACATTTTTTTAAATTTATTGAATAAATCAATTTAATAATTTCTGTAAAATATAATTAAAATGTATCAGTCCTTTAAAATTCGATATCACATAATAACACTTAAACAATTCACTTTACAACAAATT